CCCTGCACGTTCTGCGCCCTCCGTAGTTCCGCGCCTTTTGCATTATTTGGTAATGTATAGACAGATAAATGGTATCTAATCGCTGTTTGTTATAAAGTTCCCGTCAAAATGTCAAATATCTATTCTACTAATTATAGGCAATGTCATGACTGTTCCGTGCAGCAATAATGTGCGCCATAATAATAATTATGCGCCGTATACCCGATATGCTTTATTTGTTTGTTTACCAGGGAAATCCTTTACTTTATTGGTTGAATATAATTGAGCAGTTGGGGAAGATTGATGGATCGAGGGGTGAGGATGACGATAGTGGGGATGGGATAGAGATATGGGGATGGTGGAGATGATTGGGGGGGGGGGGCGGATGATGAGAATAGGGAGTCAAGGAGCAGACAATAAAAGAGGAATTAATTAAAAAAATTTTTTTTTTTTCGATGGCTGCAGGGAAAAAAGAAAGGTAGGAAAATTTTTGGCGGCGAGTAAGATGCAGGGTATATTACATCATGGCCAATGAGAATAGATGACCTCGTAAGGTTTGCTAGTAAAATGTATTACTTAATGCATTTGTACCCGATTGGTTAATATGTTGAGCTTTTTATCTTTTTTGATGGCATTTAATAGTTTCCGCTTTGTTTCTCTTGTTCTGCCATAGACATGTCAACATGTCAAAATAAATAAATTATTGATAAACATCATAACATAACATAGCATTCATGTTGTATACCAAATATTATATTAAAACAGAATTAAGTTTGACTGGCGAAATGCGAGATATGCATTAATTGGTCATGTATTACCTTTCTATAGATCGATCGACAAAGGGGAGGGAAAAAAAGATAGTTTGACAATTGATAACAGATATACTGTATACGTGTTACCGCGTTAATTACATGTTCGCTTGTACGGCATTCGGTGTTCAACAAACTTTATGCCTCCCTTCCCGCCACCCCTCTCAGTAATTTCCATACTTGTCTGTATGCTCCTTTTTGACAGCTTGCTCACACATTTTTTAGGGCTGAGATGCGTATTAGTTGATTGTTTGGGATACACAAACTTAATAACAAAAGTGTGTTATGGAAAAAAGTAAGGAACAGGGAGGAAGGGATGGGAAGGAGGAAGGGGAGAAAAAAACTTTAAAACTTTTTGACAGATTGATTGAAAAGAGTGAGAGAAAAGCGGGGAGGAGAAAAAAATGGGGAAAGGGGGGGGGGGGGAGAGGCTATAACTTGTCTATATTAAAGTTTAAGTTACTGTTGAGAACAATTAAACATATTTTAATTAATGTAATGATATTATCGTCAGTATTTAGTTTATAGCATATGTATCAATTCCTATATAGTACTCATTGGACACAGTAGAACATTGGTTCGTTCGTTTTGCTTTATTCCATCAGTTATCTGTTTCTGTTGTTGTCATGGGACCAGATAATGCAGCACAGCTGTTGTCAAAATGATCGTGTAATCGTGTACAGAGATGTCAATACACTATCTACCGTCAAGATAACAAAAATCAATTTCACACGCTGATACCATTGAATGACATGACAGGACCACAGTCGTACATGAATACATTGGGGTCACGAGAATGGTAAATTGGGGCATATTAAGATTGTTCTTGTTGGTCGAAAGTTTGATGGGTTACCTCATGTTGTATAGTCTATCTTGCTGTGTTCAGTCTGGTTACTACTTTTGTGCATTTATTGATTGTACCGTATAAAGATTTGCGCGACATTAAGACCAATTGGAAAATCCCGAGATTTTTCTTTTTTGGCGGGAAATCACAAATGACTAAATCCCCCATTACCCAGCCAATCAATCAATCAATCAACTTTTTTTTGACAGGTGGGTTATGTTATGTCATAGTTTCCTTTTTGTGTGTGAACCGGTTGGCGTGTGTGTGTTGATCTCACAAATCCGAAGGGGGGAATCAGGTGATATAGCAATAACAATCAACTTATTTCACGTGATTTGTTCATATGTTATTCGTTTTCTTTATTTATTGCCCCTTGATATCATCTACACCAATTGGCAATGAACAAGTTATTGGGATTTACGCATTGTGGCTCCAAGAGAGGAAAAAGATCATGACAAATTCAACTCGACTGATGATCGCAATAATTGTATTCGTTGCATCTATTTCAGTACAGAAAACAAAAATGTATCCAATTTAAAACGGTTGCGCTCGAAAATTAAGACAAAATTATGTGATCCGCCCTCTCAAGTAAAAATGATTGACAAATCAGACATACTATACTAATACGAATAATCATAATAATGATCATAATACATTTACAATTATTGATATGTTTGGATCTAGTATGCTGTCGCATTAGTGTGTCTCAAATAGTGTCAAATGTATAATTTGTACCAAGAATCTAATAAACAATACTAATAACACATGGCATTTTCTGATACCATTCATTTATGCAACTAGGATGTACGTTTGTGTATAATTGTGTATACTGTATATTCGATGTATAAATTTCTCTTCCTACTGTGATAATATGGTTATGTCACATTAAAATACATATAAATAATATATTAGTATGCTCTTTTATTAGATTTCTTTGTTTCATTTCTAGCATGTGCGTTTTACTGAAATAGTCTACATCAGAATCACACATTTGGGACAACAATATTAACCAATACTGCTGCTGATGACAATACTTTTTTTGGATAAATCTCATGCTTTTGATTATGATAATTGTGATTATGATTATTTGTTATTGTCATAAGAAATATAATGATGATAATAATTGTTATTATTATTATTATATTATGATTATGATTATTTGATATTATTCAGCTACTACTTGCTTGTTCACTTATTGTTCTTTATGTACACCGCACCCCTTTTCATCTTTTCCCCTCATGGTAATCGTTAAAATTTCCATGTGTTCGCGTGGGAAGCAGGCATTTGGGACAGGAGCGGGATATTAATATGGGGTGTGTTTGACAAGATTGGATGTATGCCTAAACATAATAATAAACCATAAACATGCCTAACGCTAATGGGGTTATGTGATTTGAGAACTTGGTTTCATTACACAAAGAAATACGAATTGTTTGAAAGATCAATCATCGCACAACCATTTCTCCTACAAGGTGATATCTATACGCCACCGTTACCTACCCCACTTGCCCACTTGCACACATCAATCGAACCATGCCTTATCCAATGCTCATTTAATACTTGTGATTTTGTATGCTAACCAAATAGACACACCAATCAAGCGTTTCTAAGCTTTTCGATATCTGAATTTATTGACAATGGGCAACAAATATGCCGATGACCAGCCCTTCGAGTTATATCAGTCATCTGCTTACTTAATAACTCATTTTCATCTTACCTAATACGTTTCTTCCTCATTTGCTGTGTCTCCGCGGGTTTAGGCGGGAGATTTGCAAATTTCGAGTAAGGGGTATACCATATTTAGGGAAATGTTAAAAACTGTCACACCTTCCTTGATTACAGTAACATAACGTAATAATATTAATAAATTAATACAGAAATAATAATATCAATTTAAATTACAATTACAATAACAACCACAATAACAACCACAATATATGCTAAGACTGTTACAAAGAATATTACAAGTATTAGTATATGCATTAGAGAGAGGAAGAGACTGTGGGTTTTGATACGGTCATAACAAACACCATGATATTATTAATCATAACCGTTTTCTTTATTACCCGTTTTTGTTGACTGTCAGTTTCTGTCGTTGTTTGACTTTGACATTGACATACTTAACGTATGCATCAACTTTACCTTTCATAACGTTGTAAACTTACCCACAATTAATCGACAACTTACATTGCATGTATTTGATTATTACCAAACATCAACCGTCAATAAACTGATCACTTGCATTCGCAAATAATGCATCATCGACAAAAAGCATTTTATCGCGATAGACATTGGATATCTGACTATTAATTATTATGCATTCTAACGAGTACTAATCTCAAATCGAGTTTATTGTCACCCAATCATCCTATCTACATGTTTTTCTCCGTTATTACTATCATCATTTTTGTCTCTGATATTTGTAAAAATGGGTTATCATTAGTCCAGGAGTAAATACTCTCCGACAATATTTCGTCCTTGTTCCACAGTGCATTGAATTTGCATCTTTTGTATAACCACGCCGTGTATGTATGCCAAGCTCACTGACTTTGTTAGAACATGTCGTTATTCGACTCTTATCTCTCTCTCTCTCTCTCCCCCCTTCTATATTCACATCCCACCAACTGAAACAAAGTAATCAAACACAACAAAGTTTAGCATGTAACCTAATTATTTCTTAAAGAGGGGAGAAGGGGGCTGTGTTGTTTGACAGGTAGGATATATTTAGATTTAAGGTTGAGACTTGTTTCAGCAAAGGCGTGTCAAAACTGGACAAGAATGTGTACGAAAAATAACGTTCCAATGAGAGGGCTACTTGGCAGAGAATAATGGAAGAACTGACTGACAAGAATGGAACACTTGACAAGCTGATTATGGGCCGAGACAGCTCTAAAACTAGTTTATGTGGGAACTGTGCTCTTTACAATGTTGTACTTGTTACATCATTAGCAAAACTGTACCATCATCAACATCAACAAGAACCATATCAAAGCTTTATACCATCGCAGTTCAGGGAGTGGGGGGAAGATTGAAAAGGAGAAGTGTGAAAGGGATTATTATGATGTAAAATGATTGATTAATCGATTATATTATCTCTACACTTCCTCCCTCCCCCTTTCCCCCCCCACCCCCCACCCCCCAGTTGACTATATGTACATATTAGTATCATATGCTAATCATGCGTTTATCAAACATTTCTGTTATGTCTTCGAAATTCATCTGATCTTCGCATGGAATGGGATTCCCTTTGTCTGGAGAGCGGGTAAACATTAATAACAATGCCGTAAATAAACGTCACGTGAAATCATCACCCTTTTTGACCCGAATTTTCTAATACACGTAAACGCGTTCCATAGCCTACAATTATAATGGTTGGAATAGACGAGTTGGACCTTCCGGCAGCCTCAATAACAAAAGTAGCCAAAAAAGCAGTAAGCTAACTAACTAATTGGCGCAGCTCATTCGACGCATCTTGTCTTTGTAATGCAATACATTCCACATTACTCCACCATTCTAGCTCGACAATAATGCATTATTCCAAAAAGACGCGCGTATGGCAGTAACAAAGTGCACTACTGTCTTTATAAGCTTTCTGACTAACTAGTAAGTCCCTCGTACGGGTGAGATGACTTTGGTTTACTGTTCGGATAACAATAACGTGACGTTACATTCAGCTCGAACGAGTCGGCCAGAAGCAGAGGGAAAAAGACTATCACGGCTGACGATGTAATCAAAGGAATACAAGAGCTTGGATTTGATGAATTTATTCCAAGGATGAAGGATATGGTTGCTGGAAAACGAAAAAAGGCTACATGACAATTACAACAAAGTGGTAAATGAATGGAATTATTGCTTATATTTAATCATCACCATCATTATTGACATCATCGTCATCACTATCACCGTCATTATTGTCATCTTCTTCATCGCTATCACCACCATCACCACCATCACCACCATCACTACCATCATCACTATCTTCTTCTTCTTCATCGTCGTCGTCCCATCCTTCATGATTTGTATTTCTTACTAGCAAGTCATCGTCATCAGCTAGAAAATAATATGTAGATATTAAAGATGCAGTCGAATAAGAGAGTTTCTGTGGCTACACGTAGGTAATAAAAGTGACAATCACAACTGTTCCCTATCCACGCACCATTCTCCAGCTTTTGGACACGTTCATGCTCAATCTTGTCGAGCCATTCATTTTGCACTTTGACAACTTCTGTTGAATCCTTGCATCCAGAATATAGTCCAAGGAGTTCTCTAAATGAGGAATTGACATGTAGAACGGTCAGAGTAGCTACAACACTTGATCCACATGATTTATTCGGTTCACCTACCCGTTGACTTTGGCAAATGCATGGCCCCATTTGAACTTGCCTAGGACTTCTTCTGCGTACTCGGGGAAGCCTATTCAAATATCGACATCAATAATTGTGTCAGTAATCAGATCTCGGTATTTTCAGTCTCATATCAAAACGTCAATCTGCTGACGTCCTTTATTCACCTGTAATATAGAAACATGCAGCAAAGGCTTCAGCGCAATTCAGTTTCCATGGTCGGCCATAATTTACTGGATTAGTGGCAACTAAATACGGCACTGTATAGAACGTTGTAAGTCAATTTCCTCTTGGTAGGTCCAATGCATCGTCCAAGATTCCTTGTAACAAGGTCTTATGATATCATACCTATAGACTATCGATTATTTTGACATTGAAATACATACGCAATCGATCATGAGATGTCTTTAATTTTTTAAACGGGACATCTTCCAATCTAGCCCATGAACAATCGACAACGGCTAACCCGTGTTCGGCTACTATCGACCGGTCGGCTGGCGAGACCGCCTGAGTGCCATTTGGACTGATTGCCGTTTAATTTGAATGTATGATAATTATTATACAACACGTATGGTCTATAAACAAAAATCGTTAGGCTTTTAAATCATACCTTAACACTATTCCTTTGAATCTGTGCGTAGTCCTAATGATGTTGACTACTTTCAGCCTAGCAAGTTTCTTACCCGAACATCGTTTGGGATCGCAATGATCAAAGTCCTTAATAAAACATGCGTAGGAAACTAAGGTTAAAATACATTACGACATCGTACTCCACTCCTCGGTAGAGCAAAGCCTATTATAATCATTTCTGTGCGTATTAGATTACTTGATGAGTTTGTTGCATTTACCCACATCGCCAATGGCATCGGAATACTAGTCGAACGTATTTCACCGTCTTGGAAAAAAAAAAGTTCAGTCGCGGTAAGTTTGAGCGAAACATATTCGATTAGATTTGAATCTGATAGGAAACCTTCTTTGACTGAATTTGACAATGAATCTGATCTGTTGATGCAGACGTCAATAAGATATAAAAGTACAATCGATACTGCTGCCAATATTATTGTCAAAGTAATGGTGACCTCATAGCTGGCTCGCTTCGCTTATTGTCGTTGCCATAGTGGCGGGCAAATCTACTACGATGTCGTGACGAATTCGGTCTATTCTTTCCCATGGCTAAGTAACGGTATTGTTTCTCCTGAAAAAATATGACATATTTCACGTGATAATGAATATATTCTCACTTTTAATTTTCAATGAACCTGCGCTTTGTGTGGCCATGTTTCTTGAATTATCTATAAACAAGGACTATTGGAAGACGCTGAGACACCTGAATTAAATGTTGCAAAACACAAGTAATCTAACAAAAGAAAAAGAGCCGAATTAATTATAATCAGATTAAACTTTTACCTGACAATGAAATAAATGATGAATTCTATCTTAGAAACAATGGCATATGCCCAATGGAAAACGACACGAAAAGATTCTTTCCCAATATTTAATAACAAAGCTAAAGATTTTGTTATAAGCAGACTGCACAAAAAATATATACACTCCCCTGACAGAGACTTCTGTCAGCGGAGTGTACAGTATATAGAGTTCTAACGTACATGTAGGCTTTAAAAGCAACGCGACGAATATCAAATACTGTTTGAGGTAACGATAACACACTCTTCACACCTACACCATACCGACATAAAATAGGCAATGTCAAATTATTCAGTTTATCGGCTAGTCGTTGATAACACAGCAAATCAGGATAACTAGAAGCCCTTTTCGCCAGGGAACAAAACTTCCAGCAAATACAAATACAGTATAGAATAAAATAATCAGAGAAAGGCTACAAAAGGATATGATAATAATAACAATAAATCTTTCATTCACTCACTTGCAACAAAAGTAGCAAAGGCAGAAGAGACAAAACTCTGTATGTGAAAAAATCTGTTCAGCAACCCAGAAACATGTCATCAGAGCAATTCGGAAAAAAGAATATACAACACTGTTTGGACAATTAGCCACCGAACTTAGCAATACGGGGATTGTATCACTTTCATCAACAGTAGAGTGTATGAAAAAATGTATCCATTATTAACAGGACAGAACCTAATGATAAATGAGTGGATTGCCATTAGCATAATCCAAAAATCCCAAATATAACAGAGCAATCGATCATATTAATATCAACCCCAGCAGATAATTTTCTGATTCTTTATATCATTGCCTTAATACTAAAGCTGTTGACATCTATATGATAACTGTCCACCAGTAACTCTTGCAACATCACCATTAATGAAATGCTCATCCACCATATTAATATCACTGATTTCTTCATTCTATTCCTTATAACAATGACTATTTTATTATTATTATTATCAAATGATTGAGTTAAAAAATCTTTCAAAACTGGGTATTGATGGTAAAATGAAAGTGATGTACAGAAATATTTTTTTAAATATCTTGCTTATCATGATCTGTTAAGATAAAGATGATGTGAGATAGGCAGTCAATGGCACAAAAATATTACAAAAGCAACAAACTCGCACTATAAGAAACTATATTTATATTATTGTGTCCTCTACCCTATGTACACACTGCTCTATGCGAACAACCGAAATCGTTATCTTGCTGAAGCCTCTCTCTCTTCTCTTTCTCTCTCTCTAACAAAATTATTTTCTCCTCCAAATTAGTATTAGCAAACAAATAAGAGCGGGGTATAACACGGGTCGATCTGAGTTATCTGCTGGAAGAGCTTCAATGTCCCGTATCTTTTCCTCGGTCTCTGTAAAATTTCTTCGATTTTGTCGTTCATTGTGTTGCGAGGAAAGTCGCAATTTTTTCTTAACTACCGCGAGGGATTTTCTGTTCACAAAAAAAATATGCAGGCGCGTGAGTACCGGCTGACGGTCAATAATACCATAATAACAAATTTGCTTTATGATGTCATTGATCAATCAGAAAGTTTTTTTTTATGGCATTTGTAATGACAGGCCTACAAAAATTATTGAAATAAAATTAGCATTCGACGCGAGTTAATATAATATTAATTATCATGGATCATAAATTTAATATTAATGTTAGGTTTATGTATGTGTGGAATAGTTCATTATCATGACAATAACTAATTTTACTGTTGCTCGTTCAGCCTTACCGTTATTATTGCGGAATATCACGATCATTAATAGTTCAACTCGTTATACGAACCTATTACCTCGATTCAGAACGAAATCTAAAAAATTAATGTATAGTTTGCTAATAACAGGTTTTGATGTATAGAACTGGTCGAAGACACTAGAGCTTATTACTAATAAAGAACACGAAAGCTATGAACTGATAATGAAGACAACTTACCATGGGACATGACAGTTTCCATCTAAGGTACCTTGCAAAAGTGGATTCTTGTTCATTACACTTATTTTGAAAGGAATTTCAGTTGCATTCCAACCAAGACAAGAACATAGATAATTAACTCAAATTTATTATGCAAACATCTGATAATCGGTTACATGATTTGTCACTTGCTCAATCCAACAACAAATATTCATTCAGTCATTTTCTGCATATTAATATCATTAAATTCGAAAGACTATCTACTGTGGTATTAAGGAGATATTGATGAGCTATGTTTACCGACTCTTGATCTTGATGAATGCACGAGTAACTTTCATTTATGAATAATACAACTCTCGCCTAAATGCACACTCTCCCTATTCTGCGTGTGCAAACTGAATACCCGATGATCGTCTGTTTTAGAGGATTTCATAGTGCCGAACTTAGACAATGACTAGGCGAAGTAGAACGTGACCCCATTCTGGCAATTACACTGGTCAAGGTTGTATGTCAACTAATGAAACCCAGATGTACGCGTAGTGGAATGGTTAGATCCAATCAGAGATAAATAACCTCACACAGATAGTCGAAACAACAAATGTTTATTTCTACTTTGGGATATACATTAGTCCATTTTCGTTTATATGTTTTGTATTCCGACCATTCTTTATGCGTTCCATGCACTGAAATTGAATAACCTACAATTTATCATTCTTTATTCACATGTGCGCAATTAAAGATAGTAATTCCGTTACAGATAAGGGTTGAGATATGAGTTAACAATTGGAAAGAACGAAATTATGGAACGTGTTTGATTTAGATGGAAATAATTCGTGCAGCGTACAAATGTCCGGGATTTCTTCGCGCTACAGCATCGAGAACTTTATCAGTCGTACGAACGATTATTGGCGAGTTAAAAATACTCTACTCATTTGTTTGATGATAAAGAAACGAAAAACTGTGTTACAAAACCGTTATTGCATCAACAAAACCGTTTTCACAATTGCACTACTGACACTGTTATAGCAGCGCATGATGACCCCAAATTAACTATTTTCCGGTCTAATAAATAAGGGCGAAAAAGATCCAATTTTTAGAATAAATCGTTAAATGGTCAACGTCTTAACAAAATCTTGCATACTGACCAAGTTGAATAGAAATACTCCATTACTAAAATAATAATAATGTAAAATTAATATGGTAATATAATTGTTATAAACTCAAATCTGATTGTAATCGCCGCTTCTAGGATTAAGGTTTATTGATTACACCACTTTTAAAATTGAGGTTTTCGAAATCCGTTATTGTTGTATCGATTAACAAGTTTACTATTATCATAAATGTAAACAACATATTAATATATAATTGTAAACAAATGCTTCACCAGATTTACGCAAAGCACCATATTTCTTTTTGCAACACATGGTATATTTTAATTTATATGGTAACCTATATACACGATTGCAGCACGTATCGATAATATATTTAATTTAGCGAAAAGTGCAAGCAGTCAACTTCATACATGACTGAAATCATTGCTCCTTACAGACTCACAGATTTTCATTTTCATATGCTTTTTACTAGTAAATGTCAAAGACCTGCCGAAAATTTTGGTAGAGAAACGTTCAAGCGGACTACTCTTTAGTAAAATCAAACAATTAGTCTATGAATTATTCTTTTTTGTTTCAGACCTATATACAGTGCAGAATACTTAATCATCCGATTCAACAATGTTCCCATCTTTGCTTAACTCGTCTTCTTCTTCCATTTTTCGCTAATCATAGCTATAACTGCCTTTATGACGCCTTTAATTGTATCGCTGTTTCCAGTATTGAACATCATTATTAAACCTTCACGTGAGAATGAGAACGATTCCGTTGTTACTTGCTCCAGCATTAGGGAAGACAAGTCAAATTGGCTTGGAAGATGAACCGACAGCAGTGTGGTTATTGTTGGTGGTGTATGGATAACAGAGAATGATGAGCTGTTGGGGATGGGTAGTAAGTAAGGTTAGGACGTGAATAGCGATCAAGACCAGTGGAATAGTTTAAGCATAAGATTTGAGCTTAGATGTTTTTGTGATCGTCATGCAAATGGCGAACGTGCCCGACAAGAATGCAGTTAGAACGTACATAATGCACGTACCATATATATAATTCATCCAAGTCAGGACGAAGAATGCTTATTGTCACTTCTCCAATATTTGTTTTATCTGGGAATTTGTATGTGAATTCGAGCTGTTTCTGTATCCGTTGATTTCCTTTGTCAAGAAACTGAGCTATACAAACAAAGCCTAGACATTAGTTTGTGCATTCCGCATATACGGCTAAAGCTAGACAAACCTTGACTGACTCCTGCGTTCTCCAAGTTATTCATCAACGAACGCAGTTGTATCTCGTTGAATGAGTATCTCATTGAATTACAGTTGAAGCGTATTCGTAACCATACGAGTATTCTATTCACAAGTAATGTCGGAGCATTTGTCAGGAGAAGCGGATAGTTAGAATGTAGTGCTGAAACTGCGGCATGAGAGAAGAATTGGGAGGACAAGAAGTGGTGGACAAGCGCAATCAATAAAGCGAAGCAATACGTTGTTCAACAGGCACGACCAAGAAAAAAATCTCTTACAATCATTTGATGGCCGATAATGGCTTGGGAATAATAAAGCATAGAAGCATAAATTATTCCATAGACCTGAACGGGGGACAATGAGTTAATATGAAAAACATGAACATTTTTCGATCTGCAATTTTGTTATTACCTCGCAAGTCAAATCTCAGTTCTATAACAATTGGTGTTTCATCGTTTCCTAATTACATAAAGAATATTCGTAACTATCCACTTATACTCTCTTATTCTCGTCACATTCTTTGTGCTTCTCTTCCATCACGTCCTTCGCGTTAAACGTTCATTTGTCTTCTCTCTTACCATCCCACTCATCCTTTCGAATTTTCGTAATCTCCACAGCAATCAAATTGCCATATTTCTTCACCTCCTCCAATAACCGTTGTGAATCTGCATCCGCCGCAGCATTTTGGATGCCAATGAGAATGGTTGAGTAGAGATCCTTTGCATAATTGACGACTTCTGTTGATTGAAAATTGCAAATCGACGTAGTTTTATACATAATAAAATTTTTATTATACAGGACGTCTGCAAACAAAAACTGGGTGAGTCGTAAGACGTGAAATTCGCTTTCGTACCCAGAAATGCGCCGCCGACGACTCACCAAACCCTTTTTCAGAAGGCGGCTTTGCAGCCTCAAGTGCTGCCCGATGAGCTCTAGCCTCCAACATCTGCTTCCTCGCTGCCAACGGTCCATCGCATACTCTTTTATATCCAGAAATCTTCAACTTTATCCTTTTCTTCTCGGGTACATACTGTTGGCTTCCTTCACGTGATATCGCATCTTTTTTATAAGCTGCAACCAAATTCTGTTTGTCTGGGATCGTACTTTGTACATTTATGGCGCAACTATCAATCGTAAAAGTGTTGGCGTGTTCACCGACCGTGCATTGTGGTTTAGTTGTTTGAGCGGGCAGAGTTTGGACGAGCGGAAGAGCGGGATTTGTTGAGGGAGCATTATTAGCATGCAATGATGGAAGGGAAGTTTTGGGAGGTCTGCCCCGAGGACTCTTTAATATCAATGACATTTCGGTAATAACGGAGTGAATTTAAGCAAGACGTTAAGCGAGCTAAATAATTGAAGAAGAAAAGCAATTGAATTCGAACTAGGGTTAGGGGAAATTAGAAGTAGTCCAACAAATGGAATGATTTCACGTGATTTAGAATATTCATTTGGGGCTACCATAATAATAATAATAACGTTCGTTTAATTATCTAATAATTCAACCATTTTAACGGAACCTTGTTGGTAATCGCCGAAATTACGCATTAGCCCACAAATAACGCCAGCTTGCATTAAGATGAATAAATAAGGTCACCACAGCGTGAAAAGTCCAAAAAGACGGTCACATATACGCATCAAACAAAAATTGATGCATTTCCAACAGTAATACAAGCATTACTGTATTAATAATTCAAAATTTAAGAACGCCATTTTGTTCTTCTTGATAAACGTTAACAAACTGCGTTTAGAAAATTGACAAATGTTACATGTGGTTTGACATATAACTGTTCAAAGTTTGGTTAATTTATATAGTGAGCGGAAATTTGAAACAGCCTTTTCTGGTAAAATTTATCTTAAATTTGGTACATTTCTTAAGGCCTTAACAAAAAAGGAAATCTTGTGTTACATTACCATTGGATAAAGATACTCTTAGAACGAAAAATTTTCGTCTTTAATATTAAATTGTAATAATGGGTAGGCCCTGAAACGATTTTTGAATAAAATTGCTATTGTTGATCATTGACATTTTCAGTAATGATTTCCCCTTGAAAATTGAAACAATTTGATGCGTATATGTGTCCCCCACCATACCTCAGTTCTGGACCGAGACAATAATTGATTTGTCTCAGTTGAGATAACTCTATATTAATATAATAATAAGAACTATAATTCATAACGTTACCATTACCCAATCGAGTGATTATTGAAATAGAATATGTTTGCAGAATAAAGCAAAAAGCAAAAACATATTGCTAAAGATTGAACATGATTACACTAACGAGACTATTATCCATGTCGCAAGACATTTCAGAATAAACTATATGCTAATACTGTAAACGTATGCTTTAAACGAGCATATCTATAATGATTTGTATTTACTATAACTGTACATAGTGTCTGGTAATGCACAAAGCCGCGCGTTAAAGTGTTGTTTATAGACAGGTCGGCGGGAATGCAAATACAGTCAACAATAATCGAGCGTTAGTGATACTGATTCTTCTACTGGGGAGAAAAATGAAAGATGAGAGTATTAAAATTGCACGGCTCAAATACAGTATCATTGTGAAAGAATGCTTTGAGTTGCGGGGATACCGATCGACATAACGTTTGAGTATTAAATAGCGTAATAAACCGAACGTGGCCCGGCATATCATTGTGAAAATATGCTTACAGTCTATTGGTGTGATAAACACCGATGTAACACTTTAGTTAGTAAATGCGTTTAACACGTACTGAAATTCTCCACTCAATTTATTATAACCCTCTGGGTGGTGCGGCACACATCTACTAGCCAACTTGTCAACCGAATTTGGGCTAAAGCCTATACAAACAATAGGTAGTCATACAAGTCAATAGTTACTTGCGCTTATATAGATCATTTATTGTTTATTCTAAAATAAAAACTTACAATGCTAATATGGCATCCGTTAAACGAAACCTTTTTGAAATCCGTGCGACAAACTAAAGTTACTATTAAACCTCCATAAACCGTAAACCGAAGATTTTTTGAAACACAAGCATATCAAAATACTCCGAACAATTGACGTAACAATTTATTTAACCAACTAGGAATATTATTATTATTATTATTAGTTTCTATCTGCCGGTTGTCGGGGTGTGTGACCTGTCGGATAACTTCTTGTAAATGGAAATATTATGGACTTGTACGACGTGTCAGTTTACGGTAATGGCTTTAACCACCAGTGGCTTTAGAAAGAACGTTTAGTAAAAAGTAAAACTCAATACTCATACTCCATTTATTTAAAGAAAAATTTAAATTTTTCAATTTTTTTTGGAGTTTACGCGAACAAATTGAAACAAACGTTCAAAATAAAAAGCCTAGTTTGATAGTGCTTTCCGGTAACCTTGGTTTTGGTAAGTCTAAAATTAGTTGGTAATTTTTGCTCTCGCTCTCTCCGTAAAATTATTTCTCTTAATTCTATTCTCCATCTAATGTTTATGCAAATATAAACAGTACAATACATACAGTAATTATGATTGCCAATAGTCATGTAATTTAGTCATGTAATTTTAGTCGTATTCGCGGCAGCTTCCCAAATATGACAATGTATTGTATAATATATTTGATTTCTCTGCTTATTTTCTTGCGGCAAGAAATGTTACGATCCCAATCATTATCATTTCAATGTGTTTTTAATTTGACTCATTAATTGAACCGCTTCATTACCGAAAGTCCCCAGTTTAGTCAAGTAGAATACTAATCAGGAGTACGCATATTGTATGATATCAATGGTATAATTTAGAGGTATTGTTTCCGAAGTCGATGTTTAACTGAAGCAATTTGTTATCAACGTTTTGCGAAAGGTTATAAAAATTTATCACAAACTTGCGTTCAAAATATGTTGATAAACATAAAACACGCGCATTATGGTTCATTTGTAGCAGAGATGTTTGCAATTTTATAGCGTATCCCGAAGATAAACGTTTTGACAAGCTTATTTTACTTTACGTAATATTTATATTGCTTTCGACTATATGAAATAGATTTCCAATTTATCGAATAGTTATATCAATCATAATCTGATGTCGGACAAATTAATAACACTAGATATTTATAAAAGACTTACTGCTCACAATGTATTGCACTCTTGTCTTTATACCTGAAACTCAATTGACATTTCATAACTATTTCTTGGTTTAGGCCAATCTCCAGTAGGTAAGAGTGTGCTGGAATATTTACTCTCCTTTTCGAAACGTGATAATGGTTTTACATCATTATGATAGATAGCATTCCACCTGTTGTCATTCCTCACCATGTACTTGTCAATAAGCATCAGAATATTGTTCCAAAGTTTCCATGCATCAGGACGCTTATCAGGATCAGCATCACAACACCGCTCGGCAAGTTTCTTGTATTCCTCTGGCGCAGAATCAGGCATCGACGGTCGCAGTCCCTCACAAACACGTATCGCCAAACATTTGTCAAACGACCAATCTCTAAATGGTGGTTCACCAGTAGCAATCAAATACATAATGATACCAAATGAATACACATCTGATTTCCGAGTAAATTTGCAGGTATGAAAGACTTCCGGTGCAATAAAAGGCAAAACGCCTTGAACGGTTGAATTTGACTGGTGTGAACTCACTGATTGTGAAAGACCGAAATCGCATATAAGTGAGTTTGTATAACCCGTAATATAATTATGCATAATAACAATGTTTCCACCATGAAGATCGCAATGCACTAATCCCGCATTATGAATAACACGCAGATAGTGTGCAATGTTCCTCAAATGCTGTAATTTATCCAACCACGTCAATTTGTTAATATTTTGAACCAAATAAGACAAGAGACTACCATTGTTAGCATATTGCATAACAATCATGTACTCTTTTGTCTTTGGGTCTTGTGTGACTCCATAAAGGGAAAGGAATGGATCAAGATGATAATTGCGTAAACACTTGGCATGATTTCGGAACTATTAAATAAATAATAAATAGAGTCAGCTTAAATATCGCATTAATTAATACTACCAATCATTGCTTACCTCGGAAATAAATAATTCCGGCATTTTATCAAAATTTTTAAACTGTTTGAGTACAACAGTTTCCTTCCCTACTTCTGAATACTTATACGTGGCAGTATAAACTGTTCCGTAACCACCAACTCCGATCTCTTTGAGTTCATCAAAGTCGCTATACTGCAAGTATCTAACACGTTCCTTGTTTCGTATAAACGTGTTCAGTATTGTATATACGTCGTAATAGAAAACTAAATAATATTCCCGAGTAGATGGCTCCTGAGTGACTCCGATTATCCAGATATTCTCAGGAGTTAATATCTCTGGGTACTCCTTAGTTAACTATTTGAGTAAACAGAATACACGTTATAAATCAAACGCATGATACACACTTATCGATTGCATCGTTTAACACGTAACACGTGAAATAATTTACCTGATGAAAATCAAGCGACTGATTGTTTTGTTTGTCAACTATTTTTTTGAGTGTTACACGGGTCAATTCATTCCATTCTGCTATATGCGTGCATCCATGGCGTAATGGCG